TATGCACAAAATATGACTCCGGTGTCCGTTCGAATAATAGAGAAAACAGGTACAAATTACTGGGTTTTTATAATTTTTAAATAGGACCAACTTTTGTAGTATATTCCCTCCTATCCTTTGCACTTAATTCATGAATAGCCAAAAACATTGTGGTAACGACAAAAAGGTTCCTTAATTCCTAACTATTATAAAATTGAAAAAAGCCACGCAGTCAAAACATGTGATTGCTTGAAGTCCCAGCTCGAAAAAATTTGAGTAGTCCAGATGACAGTACTGGAAGGCTCCGATTGGCTGAGCATATAGCACAAAGCAGTCATCAACTTTTCTTTTCATTTCAATCTTTTGTTTAGGATCTTCGACTTTACCATAAGCATAAAACTCGTTTTAATGGATATCATGCTTCCTCCAGTCAAGGAAATCACCTCATATAAAGGTCCAAACGCAATAAAAACCCTCCTATCGGATTCCTCAGCTCTCTAGCTAATCATAAGCTCGGATGTAAAATCTGATCTCAGATTCAGAATCCTGGCCCTCAGTAACCGATAATAAAGTTTCATCAAAAGGTCCAAAAAACAAAATATAAAAAAGCTCGTTTCTGATTGGTCGGCTTTCTAGCCAATGGGAAGATCGGATGTAAAAGCCTACCCCAGATTCGGATTTCCCGACCTCAATTACCTTTGGCGAAACCTTAGAAGTTAGTCCAAAAAAATTCACCTCTGATGTTCTTTGGCCTTGCCACAAACATAAACCCAAGCTCATTTTATTTCATATAACGCTCCCTGCTTCGTTAAAGCATATCGAACCAATTTACTAAATGAATCCCCGCAAATATGCAAACACTCTTTATTTTCCATGACTAACTTGTCAGTAGAAACAAATTGACATAAAAACATATACAAATCCAACTTCAAGTTCGAGTATTTTACTTTCTTAAGCTAGAGGAAAGCGTAAACCAAAGGTCACAATGATTTAAAATAAAAAGCTGATTTCTGATTGGTCAAGTTTCTGACCAATTGACAGCTGGATCGAATAACTGACCTCAGGTTCGTATTCCTGGTCCTCGATAACCTATAGCGAAGTTTCATGAATACCCCGAATGGGTATTTGTAAAATGCGCTCTAGCCCACTCTAAGCCATTTGCTTTGAAAAACCTTTGATAAAATAATCAATACCAATTTTACCAATTCACTTCAACCCGCTCTAACCCACCCACCCTAACCCACTCCAAGCCAACTCCAACCCACTCTAAGCCACTTTAAGCTATTCTCACTCAGATCTCAAAAAGAAAATTAACTTTCGACAAGAAAAGCAATGCTTGAAATCATTATTCGATATATGAGCTAGTTCACATAATCCACGACCAGCTCCTACAGACACAACTTAATCGAGGTCGTCAGATTTTGCTCAATTTAAGATATGTTTTATAGGTGAGAGCTTTGAGATTTTCGACGCAAGCAGTTTGGAAAAATATTGCTCTGTTGTCGAGATATTTAAATTTTTCTGAAAACAGCATTGCCAAAAAAGCAGTTTTGTGTTTTTTTGTGGCATCTATATCTCGTCAAGGATATATGCATTTGTCTTCAAATATTTATTGCGAATAGATATCATGATTCTGTATTGGTTAAAAAAATTAGATCATATGTATGAACTACTGATGAGTTGACCAATACTACCAAATACACGAAAAATGTTCTTTTTCGCTATTTTCTGTGTCTTCAAAATTTCATGAAAGAATCATATTAGAGAGTTACAATTTCGCCTATGGAGAGGTCTCATTAAGCACTTATAGTACTGAAAATCTCAGCTCCCTATATAGTTTCTATCGTTCAGGAGATCTTCCATAAAATCATGATTTTGACGGAAATCACGACTAGGGAAGGGTCTGATGTCCAAAGAAATGGATTATATAGAAGTCGAAACCATATAGATTTAAAGTACTCACTTAGTACTATAAAATTATAAAAAATTCACATGTGGGCTCAAAGAATGATCCTAAGACACTCATCGAAAAGTAATAAATATGAGTCTTCTTCTATTGAAAATGTACCCGAGTTCGCTCAGAAATTACTCGAAGAGCTTCATCATATCGCATAAATTCTACCTAGTGTAAATCAGCGTATGATTCTCTATCACCTCCCACAAAGATACTCTTTAAAAATGAAAAAAACTGTTTTTCGAAAAATCCCCGTACCCTTTCCAACGTTCTTGATGAATCACGAAACTGTGCTTTTTTGACGACACTGTTCTCAGAAAAATTTGAATATCTCGACAACAGAGCAATATTTTTTCAAACTGCTTGCGTCGAAAATCTCAAAGCTCTCGCCTATAAAACATATCTTAAATTGAGCAAAATCTGACGACCTCGATTAGTTGTGTCTGTAGGAGCTGGTTGTCGATTATGTGAACTAGCTCATATATCGAATAATGACTTCAATCATTTTTTTTTCTTGTCGAAGGTTAATTTTATTTTTGAGATCTGAGTGAGAATGGCTTATAGTGGCTTATAGTGGGTTGAAGCGGACTTGGAGTGGGTCAGGGTGGGTGGGTTAGAGCGGGTTGAAGTGAATTGGTAAAATTGGTATTGATTATTTTATCAAAGATTTTTCAAAGCAAATGGCTTAGAGTGGTGTCTCATGAGAGTAGAATTCTAAGCTCCATTCATTGATATTAACTTCGTGTTAAACGGCGGTTGAAGTGGCTTAGAGTGAATTAGAGTCAAGGAAGAAAAAGTGAGACTTCACCATACTTCACTTGTACTTCCTCTGTACTCACTCGTACTTCACTGTACTTCAAGCACAATTTTGAAGTACAAGTGAAGTACGGCGAAGTACGTGAAGTGCTGAAGTCACGCTTTTCCCCCTTGGTTAGGGCGTATTTTACAAATACCCACCCGGAATGACCTTAAAATAAAAAGCTCGTTTCTGATTGGTTCGGTTTCTGGCCAATAAAAGCTCAGATTGTAAAACCGACTTCAGATTCGGATGCTTCGCTCTCGATAACCTATAGTAAAGTTCCATTAAGAGACGGAATAGTCGAAAAATAAGTTAATATCTCATATGAGTGAAGAGTACGCCCATTGTACCGTTTGGTCTGGAAAAGAAAAGCGCTCATAAGTCGAGTTCTACTCAACCGATTTTAATATCGTTTGTTTTTATTTTACTGGTCTAAGAGTAGTCATTCACTTCTGCAAAAATCAAGTTTCTCGCTGCTTGGGTTTCCGAGAAATCATGACAACAATATCAAATAACTAGCTTTTCAACGCTGTCTAGCAGCACGGAAGCATTTTTTTTATTAGAGTTTGATTTTTTTTCCAACCGTTTTGCAGCTAGATTTGTAGAACTCGTCGCGAGCTTTCAGAGTATGTCATTGGCTTTAGCTCTACACAAAGTTTTATGAGTGGAAAATTATCAACAATAGACGTTAAGACACTTCTCCATTTTTATGTAGAGCGAGACAAAAATCATTGGCTTTCAATTTCAAGAAATTTGATTGGAACAATTTTGATTGAATAAGAACGAGTGTGGTGGAGGAAATAATTTGACAAATAAAAGAAGTTCGTTTCATATACTTTGTTAATACAAAATTTTTACAAAAAGTTCAAAAAAGCTATATTAACACAATATGTAGAGCGAGATTTAAAATTTGGTTATTTCTATAACTCAATGAAAACTAAGTCACTTACGTCAAAAGTTTGATCTTTTTTTTATCTCATAGAGTAGAGTAATATCCCAAAATATCAAGCAAAAATCGTTCTTTCTTCGGAAGAAAATGCAATTTTACTAAGAAAATGTAGAGCGAGATTTTTATGATAAAAAGTGTAGAGCGACATTAAAATCATCAAAATTTCATTTAAATAAATTTTATTTGAACAACCTTCATTGTATATCAAGAGAAGGGCTAAGGGAAAAAATTTTGACACAGAAAATGATTCTATTAGCAAAGTGTTTTTGAGAGAATTTTATGCACTAAGTTTATTGGAAAAATGGACGCAGCATGTAGAAATTGGCTGTAGTATCGTGAATCTCTATCATAGCACAGGGAAGTGTTGGGAAAATATTATTTTTATACATATTCGCCATAGCTCTATTAAATACGACACTTAACTCTCCTTTATCATGAAATTTATTTTTTTCTATTTTTTTTACAAAACGGTACAATTGGCGCGCTCTTCACTCATATATGGTTTCTTTTTACCCCAAGCTAGCAAACGCATTTTATTTCATATGACCCTTCCTTCAGTCGAGGGAATTTAGGACAAAACTAAGTAGGTCCGATAATACAATCTTTGTTGGGAATTACCTCTCGGCCTGGCCATCTGCTTATTAGAGAAAGTGGGCACTTTATTTCAGCTTCTATTACATAGATTAGCCTATAGTTTCACTTGTCCGTCAGACGATGAGTAATAGTGCCTTTTGGTGTTACACCGATTAATGCACTAGACTGTTGTCTATAGATCTTCTGGTTCTGCGATCACTCTGAAAAGGTGCTATCGATCACACAATGTACTTATTCAACTAATTTAACAAGTGTACACTGCACTCGAAGTCAATTTTCCATTCAAATAAGTCAGCTATTTGGACAAGAAGCAGTGCGAAAATTTGTCTAGCTATCATATTAGCTACTTGTCGGCGCTTCTTGGATTTTTGTCCTGCCTGATAGAAAAATCTGTCAAATAGAAGCATTGGGTTCACCAGGAACAACAGATCTGTGATGGGGCTAACTGCTTTCGTTTTTCATACAACAAAAACGAGAAGAGATGAAAAATTAAATGAATGTCCAATAAAAATGACAGAAAAAGAAAAGACTGCATTGTGACATGGGCTGTCTTCACAAAAGAAGGTCATTTTTATGCAAGACAGCAACAGTGGAGACGATGCTTGTCCTATATACGAACTGAAAGTCAGGTTTCTATGTTTCAAAAGAAAGTGTCTTTACTCGGACTGATGACTACAAATATTGTCCCTTTGGCGTCGCATGGTTATGGCAACCATGGGTACAAATTATGGTGAAATATTGGAACCTTCTGAATAGAGATGCATTGACAGTGATAACAGTTGAGAACAGTTCATGGAATGCTCACCTATGGAATATTTTAGAGCAATCGAATCAGAAAGAGAAGAAAAATGTGAAACACATGCTAATGGAGTGTATTTGGATGCATTGTTTCGGGTAGAAACAATAAGATCATTACAGTTTATACTGGAAATATCTGTAAACGATTTAATTTGATTCAAAACCTGTTCTCTTGTTTTCAAAATCTTTTAAGTATATAGGCAATACTATATCCATTGCAGATTGGTAGGGTAGGTTAGGATAGGGCAGAGCAACTTGGTCGTACTCTGCAGGGCTCTACAGAGAGAAATAGCCATTTTATGCAAGTACGCACATATAGAGGTTATACCGTACCTTCATTCGTGTCGAACCATGCACGCACATGTATGCATCGATTTCTGTCGCTTATTTGTGTCACACCCTCAATTGATCTAACATTCATCTGAAGTGAGATCAAATAGATTTCCGTCTGGATATTGGAGTATACCTTGGCTAAGATAATGGCAGGTGCTATCGTTTTAGTATGCCAGTATTCTAAAATATGAGGAAGATTGTAGTAAGGATGCTGATGAACAAGAATTAGCTTGAGTAAAGAGAAATTGATGTCAAAATATTGTATGACAACTCCACCATATTCGATAGTGTCGTTGATTTTGAGACTAATTGCTTGTGTTTTCATGTCACATCGTTTTCCATGATAATGATTAGTACACAAACATGAGAAATCATTTGGGTTCAATTTTGGAAAGCATGTACCATTATTTTGGCAGGGATTTGAAAAGCAACTATCGTGCATCAATTCGCATCGATGACCGAAATGGGTTGACGGACAGACGCAGTATGGCAATTTGTTTCCACTTAGCAAACTTCGATAGTTAGGTTTACACAATGCATTTCCTGAACAGTGATTACTGTTACACATATGATCGACAATTGAACAATCAACGCCCGTAAAATTATTCTTACAAAGACAAATATGTGCAGATTTTTGATTGAGCAATTGATAACATTGTTGATATTGACTACAAGGATTTTTCAAACAAGGATTTCTACCATCGATCTCTGTTGATTTAGTCAATCGAAGCACTTTAGCAAGACGAAAGACAGGAAGGTAATCGAAATAGATAGGATACTGCCAGACTGCGATAAGTACAGGTGTTTTATCAACATTTAATTCATAAGCGTCGATGCGAATCGAATATTGATGCTCGTGAATGATATTCGAACGATTAAAACGCCGCGCTCGTTTTTCTTCTAAGAATTTGAATGATCGAGAATAAAGGAAGTAACCAATCTTTTTGCTATAAGTAGTAATTGCAACTACGGGTCGCACATGAAATTCATTAGTGGTTAGTACTTGATTTTTACACAAAAATAGAACAAGTAACTTGAGTACTATTGCAGAATCTGTCGATTCTGTATAGATCGATTGTGATAAATTGAGATGTAGATAGACGGTCACTCGATCACTATGATGTTGACATCTGTCGCCATAATACTGCGGTGGGCAAAAGCAAACAATGTAACCATTGTATATCGGCACGCCGATACCGCGATTACACACGTACGAAATCAAAATGGATGTTACCTCAGATGATGGAGTAATCGTCGGTATACTGCTGTTTGTTGACATAAAGATATCGTTGAGTTTGGTATTATTAGTATCAAGAGGATATTTTGGCAATTGAAGTTTTTGCTCCGCATTTCTCACATATAGTTCTTTCTGTTTTCGATAAAGTACATTGGAGGGCTTAGCATTCGAAAGATTTCGCCGATCACACATATATTCATCTTCGCCAAATACACAATCGTATTTTCCATCGCATCTTGCTTGTATCTTGTGCGTATGATTTATACATCGATAATCTTTTACTTTCGGACGATCGTTGTTATATCCATATATTTTGCATGCAATCGATGCTTCATACGTGTTTGGGCATTCTGCAGAACAGGCAGACGAATCTGCAATACATGTTTTGCTTGACGCACACAAGAAATCACGACCAAGCATCCCTGGTCGATCACAATGTTCTTGAACATTTCGCTCATCAACACCTCCTAAACAATCTAGATAACCATCTCCAATCTGTTTTAGATTGATACAAAGTCGATTATGTGACATTGTATAGAGATCATCAGACACATTCACTCGAAGGCATGGATATTCTGTGCTCAAATTGCATATTGTCGAGAATGCTTGGATTCTATACATACGTTTAAACATATCTTGTAGTATAGAGAGATTTTTAAACAGTGCCATATTATGATCAGATAAATTAGCATTAAAAGCAAATATACTTTCTTCATCGGATGCATCAATACAATCCCACTCACCATCGAGTACCCATTTTTTATTGATACACTGTCCTGTACGACATTGCCATTGTTCTTCGAGACATATCCACCATGTTCGACATGTAGTCACATTTTCATCGTCCTTTGAGTATAAATCCCAAAATGTATCACAATAAGCGCGAAACGGTATTCGTGTCGAACTTAAATGTAAAGTAGAATTATTATTATTATTATTATTTGTATTAGAACTCCATGAAATAGTAATATACTGACGAATGAATTCACATCCATCTTTCAATTGACTATTACAATCGACTTTTGATAGCATCATGTCAGTTCCCATCCATGATTCATCATAGTTATTGTTACAATTCGAATCGAAATCACCGAGATTATTGACATGTAAACAACTAGACTCTTCAGATGAGCATCGAAAACGTTGACGTTGAACATTTTGACAAGCTCCCGAAATATTAATTTCACTTTGATTTTCATCCATTTTATCTTGACAATTGACCACTCCATCGCCGATACGATAAGCAGAAATGCACTCCCTCGAATATTTGCATATATCAATGAAATAATACGGATGATTATTAAATGTCATCGAATCATTGTAACAATACGTATCATAACCATTCATAGGAATAATAGAACTGGTCGAGCTATTTGAACATAGAAATACTTCGAAATCTCGAAGATCGTACTCAAATAAATATGGTAATATTGTTGTATATTGATAAATCATATATCCTCGACATTTAATTGTTGCATTAAACACCATTAAATCTGAATGTTTTTGTTTCCAATTACGGGTAGCATTGTAGAAATGACGAATATATGGAGCAATAATGCCACCATTTGGATATTGAATATTTACTGGAGGACAGACCTTGCTAAGTGCATCAACACAACTAGTACCATTGCATGGACATTGTTTTTCGGCTCCTTGTGAGAGAGCACATTTGGTTAGATAAATACATTCTTGATCAATAGTACGATTTTTAGCATTTGATTCTTCATATCTGTTACTTGGATAACATTTTCCATTCGGTAATGTCCACCTTTTATATCTGCCGTACAATTCACATATGTAATATTCACTACGTTTACTTGTACAATCGATACCGACTAGCTTCGTATTTTGAAAATCAAATCGTTGTTTTATACATTGACCGTCACCACACGACCATCGATTAGGAAGACATATTCGATCGTCACATTCGAGATTCGCTGCTTGATATGTACAATTCTCATCATCAAATAATTGTTTTTCATCTGTGAAATCCATACAATCATATTCACCATCAAGAAAATATTCATCAGGAATACACATACCATTCATACATCGATATTCGTCATCGTCGCATTCATTAAATTCCAGTTTGTCACAATTTTCTTCGTCATAACCTGACATACATTGTTGTTTTCCATCGCAAATATCTCGCCAATCGAGACATAAAAGACCATAATCACATATCAATGTTGTATAACACAAGATATCACCATACATTTGTATTCTCCATGGAAAATCTAATTTCATTCTCATTTCCCATTGAATTGTTGCATCGAACGTTGTGCCAGCCGGTAAAAAATATTCGCAATTTTTTCCGAATGATTGTGAATGATTGCATTCACATAAATATTTACTGTCATCGTTCTCGAGTTTGATCGATTGTTTTATATAACGTGAATATTCTTCGACCATTTCAATGCTTGATTTCCATTTGTGCAAAATAGTACTGACACTAATATTATTTAATCGTAGCGAGGTGAAAGTATGACGTATACCATTGTGATAGCATTTCCATGGTATATTGTCTCTTGAGAGAGGGATGGGCTCAAATGGTCGACGACAATAGAGTAGATCCATGGAGTACACACAATCATAGAACTCAACTGAGAAACTATCATGAGTATTGTATACATATACAGTATTTTCGATCATATGCAAAATGAAAAAGCCGGCAATGATTCGTGTGAGTATCATATTTATGAAATTAACTTATTCTATTCGATTAATGTGCGTATATGTTTGCTAGTTACGTATCTGAGCAATCTCGTATAGTTCCTGTTTTTCCAGTATTTAACATGTACAAATATATGATACGACACAATAAATATCAATGATTTTCTGCGCGCGCAGACATACACGTTCATCAACTAAACAATCCGTGATATTCATCTAGACGGTTTTCTTTATTTGAACTACATGTTAGGCGTTCATCTTTCATTAACATGACTAAAATGTCACTTATTTTATATTCGAAAAAGGGAAAAATGTCGTCAATGTCTTCTTTGTGTCGATAGATAACAAGAAAATAATTCATTGATTAGAACAAGATAGCAGAAATTTCCAAGAACTTTCTCGTCAGTTCCATCCAACGTAATGGAGCCAATCAGTGAAACTGTGATAGAAATCCGATTGCAAAGAGAAGTGAGTATGGATGTGTGTGTCGAGTGGGTAAAGAGAAGATCCACACTCACATTCTCCATCACACCTTCGCATTTACCTGGTAATACTTTATTCGGAGATTTGCTTTCAAGGTATCGACTACTTTTATTTAATTATTGTCTAGTTTTGATTCTATGATCGAAATAAAATCCAAATAACAACTCATCAGCATCATTTAAAAAAAAACAGCAAAAACGTGTTTATATGATGATTTATCGTTGTCACTAGGATGGCCAAATCTTCTGAAAAATAGGGAAAATTTCTGAATTTGAAACATTTTTCTGACCTTCTGATTTTGGCACTTTGTTCTGATCTTTTTCGAATTCGGAACTTTTTCAGATCGCAGCTCTGATATACAGAAATAAATGTTTAAATTATCTGATGAACGACGTAAATATGATTGAAGATGATAGTAGAGAAGGACAGATCGAAGAAACATCATCAACAAATACATCAATATCATCATCTCGAAAACTGAAGAAAAAAGGCGTTTTTCGTAAACATTGGTTATCCATTGATGAATAGTTGTCATGGTTACAAGAAATAAATCATGCTTTAACAAAAGCTCGATATAAAGATTCTCTTAAACGTTTTATCTTGATTCTGATCAGGTCAACACTGTACTTAAAATAAGAGCGAATGGTAAATTCTTGTGAACGATTTTATAAACATATATTATCTGAAACACACTTGTCAAAGCAAATTTGAAAAAAATGCAAAATATGAATAATATCGAGATGATGGTACATAATCTTTTTTTTTCGTGGGATTTCTTAATCTGTATCATACATATGTGGTATGGTTTAGCAGTTTTTGTGAACGAGTTTTGAATTTAGTGAAAATGTTCGACACTAACGAGGAAACATTCCCAAGTGATCCACTCCATTTGCTTTCGTATTTTGTCCATTTGTAGAGCCTATTATACTAAGAAAAATCTTAAGAGGATTCGTGCCCTTGTTGCTTCTTTCGAAGGTTATGACCGTTTTACTGATTTTCGAGCCATTCGTAGGTGTTTACCGAAATAATCAATGTTGGAATTTGCTACCTGAAATTTTGTCCATAGTTAGGTCTAACGATTCTTTGAATATCCTGAAAGTTTCAGCCAAAAAGAATATTCCTTTCTCAAGATATTGATTTTTTTAAGTGAACTCAGTTTTTGTGACTTATCTGTGTCAAGCGACTATTTTTTGAAATATCAATATCTTGAGAATGAAACATTCTTTTTGGTTGAAACTTTCAGGATATTCTAAGGACTATTAGATCTATCTATGGACAAAATTTCAGGTAGAAAATCCAAAATTTGATTATTTCGGTAAACGCCTACGAATGGCTCGAAAATCAGTAAAACGGTCATAACTTTCGAAAGAAGCAACAAGAGCACAAATCCTCTTGGCCTTTTTCTTACTACAATAAGTCATAGATATGGACAAAATATGAAGGCAAACGGAGCAGATCACTTAGAAATTTTCCCTCATAAGTATCCTTTAAGAGTTTTCTTTATTAGATCAGCGATATATTCATTACATTGCCTTATTTTAAAGTGAAACACCTCTGAAAATAAAGTATCAGCCGATGAACAGAAACTTAGTGGAGTGTTGGATACCAGCATCTGAACATGATATCGACTAGTTTGCAAAAAATTGCCATTTCTGATTAATTTCTGATCGTTTTCTGATTTTCAAAAAAAAAATTCTGAATTTTAAATTTTTAATCGGGCCACCCTGGTTGCTACATTAAAATTGCTTTTTGTTGTTTCTCATTATCTCCTCAAATTAACATTAGGATGTTTAGGAAACTATTCAGAAAGAGGTTTTACAATGTAGCGAAAATTTCTAGATAGAGTACGAATTCTGAAAGCATGTGATAGACCATCTATAGAAGTTAAACAAGTAAAACGTGTTTTTCTTATTAGATACCTATATATCTGATGGACAATTTATACTTTTCGTTTGAAAAATTTCTATAATTTGTGGACTCCAAATATTTTCCAATCTTTCAGAATCTACTCGAACATTATCGTCAATTCTTTAATGCTCATTTATTTTATACTGTGAATCAAATATTAGATTACTCTATTCATTTCTTTTTCTATATTAGACCAGGATTATTTAAACTTATATTGTTGGCTTTAAATCCTTCACATTACAAAAAAGTATCGATAAACGTAATGCAATAAACGGTTAATAAATCTATTGTATAAGCAGATTATAATCGAATATGAATTTGAAAAAAAATGTAATATGAATCACACTAAAGAAGAATAAATTACACCTGCTAAATATAATCCACCGTGCTTGAAAAAGATAAATATATCTGTACAATATTCTTTTCTGTTTTAACATTTGTAAATAGTCTCTCATCTGTTCAGAAATCGGTTGATATATGAATATGTACTCACATGTTATATAAATACTGAATATGTTGCCTTGGATTTAGCAATCTATATTTTAACGTTCATGACACAATATATTAATATAAAAAAGCGTAAATTCTGCTAAATAAACGAGTTATAATTAGTCGATATTGAACACAGTAACTCAGTATAAAAAAAATTCAATAGCCTATAAGACATTACTGCCTTAAAATCTATTGAGTCCTGTGAACGTGTTTTAGCTCGTAAAATCAATAGCGAGACCGATAGAAAAACGGGTAAGTTTCGAAAAAATTACAATTTTTAACAGGTTGAAGATCACTTAACCTGTTTTTAAAGATCTTGTCTACCTGGGTAGTGTCTGAAAAAAACGTTTAATCTCAATCGAGCATAGTATCTTGGAGAGATGGAAGCGAAAGTCGGGGACATTTTTCGTCATTGTAACCTCAGTATTTCATAGAAGACAGCATTCGAAACAAAAATTTTTGCTCCACTTATCAAGTTCTAACTGTCCTGACAATTTCAAATTTTTCTCATGAGCTATTCTCCAGAAATTTCGAAAACAGAAAAGATAACCCTACTTGGATCTTCGACAATTGGTTGTAGTATAGAATAGATCACAATGTTCAAAAATACAGTCGATAAAAAAAATTTCTTAGGATAACAGCTCAGAAATGCCGAGAACATAACTAACAATCTACTCAACGGCAAGAAATATTATATATGAGTATAAATCAAGGATGAAACAGTTGAAATCAGAATTGCTTTTATTAAAATGATTAAACTGATTTTTTTATTTATATTTTATTAAAAATCACTCTTTTTTTTATTAAGTTTTATGTCTATTCTATTTTTGAATCTTTTTCTAGTACAGATTCGATAAGCTGAAAGTTAGTTAAATGATACTTTTTGTGTTTTGGAATCTATAATTTATTAGATCACAATGAATGCTTAAAGACACCTGAAAGTCTTTTAACACTATTGAAATATCATTTGACATTCTAAATTAGGTTATATGTAGAATTTTCATCATAACAGTGAGAATAAGACAGTTCATTGGATCTAACTTGTATACAATATCTTCACAAGGACAAAAAAAAACAATATCTTTGTTTCTTCACCATGATATTTCTTATCATTCCAATGAGAGTGATGATTTCTCTCACGTGTCAACAACACTGAACTATTTGATTCTTTGTTTAAAATATGACTGAATAATTGAGTTTCACGGCGTCATGAACTTGCATACCGTGAAACAATGATCTAAACATGCCATTGGTAGAGTTCGCGCTCAGATTCGAACATTAGGCTGATGGAAAAGGTGATAATGACAATGGTCATCGAATCTTCACATGTCCGAAACAAGTACATATTCCGATTTTGAAGCTGTATGCTATGCTTGTTTATTTTCCATGATTGTACTAGATTAGGACCCAATTAAAAGGTTAACTTTTCGAAATTCGTAGAACCATTGGAATCTCAAAAGTTTATAGTTAATAGTAATAAAAAAGGAACATTTTCCGTTTTAATGTGACAGATATTATATTACCATATGACGGACTATGATCGCTTCTAGAATTTTCTGAGTCGTATGAACATCTACTTATAATTCAAATATAATATCGAACTATTGTTGAAAAGTTCATTTTTAGTTAATAGTTGAGTTCGAATATTTTTATTAATTCTAACTTATGAATAATATTGATCCCTAATGCTAATTATTTTAGTTATTCATTTGATGAATCAATCATAAAATAATTAAACTAAGTTGATGTAAATCTATCTGTGTATTTTTTATAAGAATTTGGATCATTTTCAAAATACATAAATATGTTTTCAAGTTTTTTCGATTAGTTCCAAAAGCAAAAAATAGATTTTTGTT